TATTATTAAAAAATTTTTTTTAATTTTTAAAAAAAAATGAGTCAAGATTATTTATTCTCTTTTTTTGTTGATAATAGAAAATTAATTAACAATTTAATTAACTAAGTTAATGAATTATTTAATTAAAAATATATTTTTTTAAAAAATAATAGAGAAACAGTTAATGAACAGAATAACAGAAAAAATCCCTTTCAACTATGTTACTATGTGATTAATGTATGACTAATTAATTTTTCTAAGAAAAAAAAATTTTTCTTTTTAAATTATTTTAAAACACACATTTTACATCTTTTAATCAATTGCCAATGAATCAGCAAATTTTATTGATTAATTAAGTTAATGAAACGAAATTTTTACGAAGAAAAAAAAACTGTTCATTGATTTTGTAGTAATTAACAAACCATAGGATCTATGTACATCAAAGATATCATAATAATAATAATAACAGATGGGTTTTGTGAATATTATAGTAATTTATTATAGTAATCTTAACCATTGAAATTACTATAATGTCCACAAAATCCACCTGATATTAATCAATATATGCTCACTAGTGACTGGCTTCAAGAGGTATATCCTGGAGTTCTGTTGAGAAGTAGTGACCAGTGGAGTTTAACTAGGTCTGTTGTGAGATAGTAACTCACTGATGACAATGGTGGATGTGTCGCTCAATTTCGTGGATTAGTTGAGGTTAGACATTAACACCATTGGATGCCGGCCGTGTCAGTGGTCTAGTGGTTAAGTGCTCGCGCGCGAAACCAGTAGGTTCTGGGTTCGAATCTCGCAAGGGGTGAGGTCGTGGATGCGCATTGCTGAGGGGTCCCGCAATAGGACGAAACGGCCGTCCAGTGCTTCCAGGTTTTCCATGGTGGTCTAACTTAAACTGACTCATGATCTTAACCATTGAAAATAATAGTACTAACTAAACTGAATTGATGAATATAACGTTCTCTACAGGTATCAATCGGATATTTAGATTATTTATTTGATAGAAATTTAAATCTGTGTTTAATCATTATATAGTGAATTTTAACTTTGTCAATAATTAACATATTTATTATTTATGAATTCATTTATAACTGTTCTTGAAATATGCAAATATTTTTATTTAATAGAAAGAAATTTACAATCAGTTGAATGATTATTTATTTTAATGTCATGAATGGATCAATGTTAGACTATCATTGAAAACCTGGAAGTAATTAACTACTGTTTTGTCCCAATATGCGGCTCTTTATTGGTACGCATTTACGATCTTGTATGCGGGATTCGATACCGACTTATAGGTTGGGAGGTTAAGCGTTTGCACGTGATACTGAAGGTCCTGGGTCTGAATACCGCGTGCGAGATTGCAAATGTTCACCACTGAAGAGTCTCATATTGGGATGAAACAACCGTTCAGTACTTCCAGGTTTTTAATGATAGTCTAACATTGATCCATTCATGATACCAATTTAGATTGTACAGTCTTTACAACTATATACTGATAATTATTTATTTCATAATATTTAATTTGACCTAAATTTCAGTTAATTATCACATAAGGTGATTAAACCGGCATCCAATTACATTGTATTATCCATATGGGAAAGAAGCTTATTATTATTTACAGTAGCAAAATGTTACGTTCATAAGATTATGCAACATAAAGAAACCAAAATACACATTATACTAAACAGACTACATGATTATTTTATAGAGTGATTTTAAATTGGATTACTACAAGTAAAAAACAGTTACTACTATTGATGAAATTAGTAGCACTCATAAAGCTTAGTTTATTAAACTTCATAGGAAAGAAAATACCAAAGTTATGTTAAGTGATATTCGTCGAGAGTGATGTTCAAAATGAAGGGGGGGGGAAATAGTTCCTTTATTATTTTAAGATTAAAAGTGTTATTTTTGTTATTATGGCATGTTTGATATAAAAAATAGAAATGTTACACCATTGTACAGTGAAGTTTGTTTTGTAACCCAACCAAACTACATGAAAATCATCTGAGATACCAACAATCACTCATATAAACAATACAATCTTTAAACAATTATGCAGTAGCTATGTACTATGGCTTGTTGATCTCTCAAAAACTTTATGGACTTTTATATTAAATAATGTGGATTCTAGAATTTAGAATAAATAAGGGATATTTTGAGATTATATTTTGACTTCATATCCGTTTATTCTGTTTGTTATACCAGTTAGATTTTAAGGAAATGACGAAAAAACTAAGTTTTAAACGAAGGTACTGTTTCTGTTAGCAATTATGGATTATATGAACGGGTAAAATTAAGAAGTAACTTCATTAAGTATTTCAAAGTCAATACTTGTAAAAAATTCATCACTAGTGACTGGTTTCAAGAGGTATTTTCTAAAGTTCTAGTGTGAAGCAGTGACCAGTGTAGCTCAAACGGGTTTGTTGTCAGATTGTAACTCACTGATGACAATTGTAGATGTGTTGCTCAATTTCATGGGTTGATTGGAATTAGACATTAACACCGTTGGTTACCAATCGGCTCAGTGGTTTATAGGTTAAGCGTTCGCGTGCGAGACTAATAGAACCTAGGTTGGAATCTCGCGAGGTGGTATCGTGGATGTGTACTAATGAGGAATCCCACAATAGGAAGAAACGGCTATCCAGTGCTTTCAGGTTTTTCATGGTGGTCTAGCTTCAATTGACTCATGATGTCAAACATTAAAAATTACTATAATATCTACAAAACCCCTTCTGATACTAATCATCTATATTTGTCAACAAATTTTACTCATATATATATATATATATATATATATATATATATATATATATATAGTATCAAAATTTATCTGTAAACAACTCAAAAAACATACTTAAACCTTGTTATAGACAGGAAATCCTCTACCGTCATCATATATCTTCTTTTCTAATGATTAATGTTTGGTAATTATATCTGATTGTTATATTGCCCGTTTTCTGAAAGTAAAAAACTAGAAGAATTTATGTTACATGATATATGAATAAACATTTTAGCGCTGTTGTATAGTAAATGTCAGCTACACTTTACTATAAGGGTTCTTGTCTTCCTGAAAAACGGAAAACTTTTACAGAACATTAGGTTAGAGTATAAAACTGGTGATCGTGAGAATAGATAATGTGCTTTCCTAGAGATTCTAAATTTAAGTAAAGACATGGTTAACAATTGCTGGAAATGTTAAAATGAATAAACAAACAACTTTTCAGATATTCAGAAGTTGATTCTACAGATATTGGCTCCAGATAAAAATACCTTTACCGTTAATCAAGTCTAATACATAGTTGGTAGGTTTCATTAAAATTATTCTGATCCTTCTAAATTGAAATTGTTTTGATTGTGCTGTGTTTTCTGGGTTGAATGATTTACGATCTATTGGGTCACCTCGGGGGGCTTCAGTCTTTAATTTATCTGAAGAACCTTATGGGATATTAAAAAGTCTATCCAAAAACTGTACGTCAAATGAGACAAGCACTGAACTGGAGAAAGTTGATGTTTCCTTTGTCTAAGCACACGCAAAAACAAACTAGTGGTGACATGACATAACGTATGAATACTCCTATCACTAAATGCGGACGACTATGAATATATATTTGATTTGGAATACATTGAAATTCTGAAGCGAGGAAATCCAAGAATGACTGGTAACTTCATAAAGAATGGAATTCAGGTCGCTGTGCAGCTAAAAGAAATCTAGTCAATGATTCAACATACCACCCTATACAAAACGAGTATTCACCTGAGCTACAAATTAAAATGAAATTTGTAGTGGTCTCGAAATTAGTAGCCACTTAGATACTTAAGGCAAAGCATTTTTAAAATGATCTTAATACCTCATAAAATTTAATATTTAGTAAATTTATTACTTAGGTTTAACATTCTAAATGTTACTCAAATCACTTTCAGTGAAATATAAATTGGTTAACTTAGAAACGTTACAAAACAAAATTTTGGAAGTACTTTCAAGATGAATTTCTGGTAAGATGTAATTTCTGGAATTCAGTCATGTTAGAAGAGAGATGGTAACTATTAGTTGATAGTTCATGAGAATCACACCGTATCCTAAATTAAATAATGTTAGAAATATGAACTGAATTCTGATTCAGAAGCTTAATGTAATCATGTTCATCATGAGACTTTAGGGTTTTAATTATGACAATGTGTGGGATCAGTATTCGTCACTTAGCTACATTATCGTTAGTTCAAGCAATTCAATGAATATAAAAATTTTTCATCTGATATATTAATCAATGAATTCTTAAACTAGGTTTCTTTACATTAATATTTAAAGTCTTATCATTCATGTTTTTGTGCATATTCTACTGCTTTTTGCTCGTATATTACATTCCAAGTTACTTGTGGTACAGACGTAGTTGTTCTTTGTCTACAATAAGAATAATGTAATTGGATCCAATGAGAAAAGATAAGAAGTTGTAAAGGGTATGATGTTTTGAATGTGATTTGTAACATTTCTGTCAACTGAAAATGTGAGCACAAAGATCACATATTTTATTTCGGCACTTGAAACTGATATGATGGACAGAAAAGTCAATTTTCGATTGAATTACTCATTATGAGTTTTATTCAACATTATATCCGTTTTGATTCAATTTGATGATCATTTAGTGTAGCATTTAATTTTTTTCCCAGTATGATATTTTATTCTGCATAATATACGATATTTTTGTATTCAGTTGACATGAACTATACTCAGTAAGTGATTTGTTATAACTGAGTATGTGATTTAATCCTAATTATTAATCAAAATGGATGTACAATCAATATATAAAACGGTGTATTTTAGACGATCATCATCATCATCATCATCATCATCATCATCATCATCATCATCATCATCATCATCATCATCATCATCATCATCATCATCATCATCATCATCATCATCATCATCATCATCATCATCATCATCATCATCATCATCATCATCATCATCATCATCATCATCATCATCATCATCATCATCATCATCATCAATCATCATCATCATCATCATCATCATCATCATCATCATCATCATCATCATCATCATCATCATCATCATCATCATCATCATCATCATCATCATCATCATCATCATCATCATCATCATCATCATCATCATCATCATCATCATCATCATCATCATCATCATCATCATCATCATCATCATCATCATCATCATCATCATCATCATCATCATCATCATCATCATCATCATCATCATCATCATCATCATCATCATCATCATCATCATCATCATCATCATCATCATCATCATCATCATCATCATCATCATCATCATCATCATCATCATCATCATCATCATCATCATCATCATCATCATCATCATCATCATCATCATCATCATCATCATCATCATCATCATCATCATCATCATCATCATCATCATCATCATCATCATCATCATCATCATCATCATCATCATCATCATCATCATCATCATCATCATCATCATCATCATCATCATCATCATCATCATCATCATCATCATCATCATCATCATCATCATCATCATCATCATCATCATCATCATCATCATCATCATCATCATCATCATCATCATCATCATCATCATCATCATCATCATCATCATCATCATCATCATCATCATCATCATCATCATCATCATCATCATCATCATCATCATCATCATCATCATCATCATCATCATCATCATCATCATCATCATCATCATCATCATCATCATCATCATCATCATCATCATCATCATCATCATCATCATCATCATCATCATCATCATCATCATCATCATCATCATCATCATCATCATCATCATCATCATCATCATCATCATCATCATCATCATCATCATCATCATCATCATCATCATCATCATCATCATCATCATCATCATCATCATCATCATCATCATCATCATCATCATCATCATCATCATCATCATCATCATCATCATCATCATCATCATCATCATCATCATCATCATCATCATCATCATCATCATCATCATCATCATCATCATCATCATCATCATCATCATCTATCATCATCATCATCATCATCATCATCATCATCATCATCATCATCATCATCATCATCATCATCATCATCATCATCATCATCATCATCATCATCATCATCATCATCATCATCATCATCATCATCATCATCATCATCATCATCATCATCATCATCAGTCTTTGTGTTCTTACTTTTGCGCCGTGAGAATTGCAGAGGTCTCTCGTGATCAGCGTTTTTCTGGCACAGCAATCGGTGACAAACAAACATAACAGAAACTCAGCAATATATGCGCTTTTTTACAACTTTTATATACTAACGAATCACTTGATAAGAACTAACGTCATTCATCTGTCAGTGATGTTTATAATGAGAGTATAAGCTTAGGGATTAAACATTGTGGTGCATCATATTTGATAATTTGTTGGGGGCGGGGAGGGGAAGGAAATTGACAGGAAAGCATAAATGAATAATTTTCTACATGCTGACATTCATTAGCATCTACTCACTGCTTGCATTGTTCCAAGAAAATGTCTCTGAATGGGATATAGATGAATGTAAGTCAACATCTTACAAATATTATATATATATATGAAACTTCCTATCGTTGATATAACCATTTAACTTTATTATTTGATAACCAATTTGCTTCCAAAGTGGTAAATGTTAACATTTTTAGTGAACAAGTAAGACTGAGAGGTAAAGTCGAAAAAAAGGAAACTAGAAGAGAATCTAAGTAATGAGTTTCATTTTAATGAATACATTTTTTTATCATTTTTTAAAAGTTCTCTTATCAATAACAATTACATAACGTCTCTTCACTGAAAATGTTAAGCCACAACGTCATGAATTCAATTCACTTGTTGTTTTACTTGTATCTACCCACTGTTATTTAGGATTGGATTTGATCAGTTTCTTGTTGGCATATGTGCATCCTGTGTGGATTGCCTTAATATAGCTTTAAGTCACAAACTTTTTAAGCAAAGATGGTTAGTGGCTAGTAGTGGAATTCAGAACACGCGCTTCGTCCTATTTGAGACTCGTTAGCTGGATGTTTTTTTGCCTGCATATCTGTTTCTTTTGAACATCTACTCTGATTTTACTAGTTGAATGTATATTGTTTTTGTTCAACTTACAATCTTCTAATTGACTTTTATGTATTGCGTTATGGATGGAAGTTAAATGTAAATGTAATGACAGTGTCAGTAAATAACTTAACATAAAGTATTTATTTTATTTTGTGTAATTATATTTTTCCATAAATATTAATATTTTATCATTGAAGGTCATTCACTTATTACGGTAAAAATATGTACATATAAAGCTGATTTTATTACATTTGAAAAGTGGCCAAGTAAGCAGGACGCTTATATAAAATCATATCGACTTACTTGCTTACGCTTGTTGACCATCGTTGAACATGGACCACCAATCAGGATTTTCCAACGAACTCTGTTCTTGGCTCTCCTTCCAAGTTTTACCATGTATTATTCATTCAATTGACGTTCTTTGGTCTGCCCCTACTCTTCTCTCTTACAGAAATCTAAGTTGAAGCTTGTTTTGTGATGCGGTCCGATTGTTTTCCTTGGAGTGTGCACCCTATCCACATCCACTGTCATTTCGTAATCTCCTTTTCAACTGGAACATGATTTGTTCTTTGACACAGTAGGTTTTTGCTGATGATATCCGACCAACTGATGTGGAATATCTTGTCTAAACAACCGTTCACAAATACCTGTATCTCTGTGATGATGGCGATGGTTGCAGTGGTCCTCTATGTTTCAGCCCCGTAAAATAGAACTGTTTTGATGTTTGTATTGAAAATTTCGACCATGATGTTGACTGACAGTTGTTTTGACTTCTAGATATTCTTTAATTGTACGAATTCTATCCTTACCGTGCCAATCTAAGCATTCACATTTGCGTCAGATCCACTTTGTTTAGCAATGATACAGTCCAGCTACGTAGAACTTTCCACCTCTTCCAGTTTCTTTGTCAAGTGTGATTTGGTTGATGTGCCTCGTGTTCTTTTTAGCGGTATATTGTTCTTTTTCTTGTTTATGTTGGGGCCTAATGATGCAGAGACTGCTGATACACTACTTGTCTTCACCTGGATTTGTTGATGTGTATGGGATAGAAGGGCTAACTGGTTTGCCGAATCAAAACCGTGTGGCTATATTCAAGTTGTTCATTGTATTTTGTACCTCTCCCGAGATGTGTAGGTTTTCACAATTCAGTCAACCACCAGAAGAAAAAAGGGGAGAGGAAGCACTAAGTAACTTTAAAAATATAGATATATTCTATTGGATCAGGCAAATCATTATTTGCTTCTGCATAAGGCTTTTTTTCTTATCTTTGAATGCAAGTCTTTTATTAGAACCAATAAATGTTTTCTTATTTATTTTATGGGTGTCATAGTTTTCATTTTTCATTGAAAGTAAACGAGCAAATTTGTAGTTAAAAAAGCCGAAGAAATCCTTCACATGGTAACACAGTTCAATTTACAGAATGCTCTAGTTATTCATTATTAACTCAGAAATTTGGAGCTGGATTTCAAAGTATGAAGAGAAGTCGAGTTATGTCAAGTCGAAAAAACACGTGAATTTCGATTGGAAGCTTAAAAATAGCTTAGAATCTTCACAAAACAAAATTTATTCTTAAAACTGAAGATAAAACTTGTTAGTTTTATGATAGTTAAAAAGGCCACGGTTATTAATATGTTGAATAGCTCGTGAAATTCGAGTATAAACTTAACCGTTTACACCTTCAAGTTGCAATATGAGTCATCAGCTAACATATTTCATTTTCATAAATTGTCACAGATTATTATTTGATAAACAACTCTGTAGTATGTGAAGTAAACATAAGAAAAGTCTTTTTCGAAGTACTAGGAGAAGTGTAGTTTAAAAGTAAGATTATTAGGGCGGGATCGTTTGTAAATTCAGTGATACATTTGACTGAATAATCAGTGGTCGTGAGTAGGACTCTGAATAATTACCATGAAATGCATCATCAGTTTCTTTTAGGATATTGTTCCTTTGCTACTGAAATATTTACTTAATATTGGGTAAACATATTGTTCTTTTTACAATAATTCAGTCCCGGAATGAAAGAGAATACTGAGATGCAGGCATATCCGTCTGACGAATCCTGAAACGGATGAAAATTACTTTCTGAACTTCAATCCTAGCCAATAACCAAATCTGTTTTAAAGTTGGTTTTTATCATTAGTCAGCTTCACACACATAGTTCATGAATTCACTGAACACAGTTTCCTATTTTTGATGATAAGTATTGTTCGTTTAGGAAATAGTAAGCTAGAAAGCTTGTTTTCAAGGTTTGGAAAACTCCACCTAATACTATTTTTTTATAGAGTAAAAAGATCAAATATATTTATGCGTTGATTAAGCTAGACAGATTGATGCCCAATATTCGCCCATGGTTATTAATTTACACAACGTTAGAAACCGATCAACACTTATCATCTTATTTTGCTTAACGTAATAATTTATTATGTTTGCAACACTGAAATTTCAAATTTGAGTACGTTGAATTTCGTTGACAGGAGAACGATGAAAGCTCCACGACCAAACCATCTAGCTCAGAGAACAACACTTCAAAATCATCTACCTGAGCTACAAATCTTCTCCACCATCTCGAAAAATAAACCAGAATTCCATTCTGTTATGTTTAGTGAAGTAGTCATTATTTCAAAGAAGTATTTTAAACCACAAACGTATATGAAGACAATTAAAAAAATTTATTTGAAGCATGAATATATCAGCATTGAATCAGAAATCTTATTTAAAGTAAATCTCTTGATTGATCATTTTGTATAGTTTGTATTTGTCTCGTTTATCATAATCAAACATTCAAGATAATCTAAAAGATCATCTAGATGCATTATGTTAAAATAAAATTGGTATTTGAAGTGACTAAAAGTGATTTAATTACTAGAAATTTATAAAAGATTTAAGTAGGAAAAATTAATAATGAAAGCATGTTATCCTCAAAACTAACTGTATCAGTTAAAGTCTACTGAGAAGATGAAATAACAGCCAATAAGTTTCTTCTGAATATATATATATATATATATATATATATATATATATATATATATATACCAATGTCTTTTATTGCTATCTTTATATTTTTTCATACACAATCACTGCTGAGGAGTCCCACAGTAGGACGAAAAGGCCGTCCAGTGGTTTTAGGTTTTCTATGGTGGTCTAGCTTCAATTGACTCATAAACTCAACTATTAAATTACTACAATAACCACAAAACCCCCTTTCTGATAATTATTTAGAGGATCAGTTGACGTGTAATTTTATTAAAAATTATTAATAAAAGTTAGTAGTACCTGAATGAGTCATTATTTAAGTAAAAGAGGTTTAAGGGGTCCAGTTCCATCTACTTGAAGGTCATTCGAATTCTTCAAAAAGCGGGTCACAGATGCAAAACATATTCGGAATAATAAAGACTATTTTAAGTTAAAATAGTCATCAAAGAAAATCGATTCAGAAGTGAAGTTCATAATCATAGTATATCTTTATTGGATTACGGTGATATTCTATGGTGGTAGTTAGAATCAAATTATTCAACGGAAGACAAATTTTAAGGCCTCTTAATTTCTACTGAACTCTTATAATGTGAATCATACGAAATGATGATGTCTATTGGTTATTATGTTTATATGAAGAATTAAATAAACTAGCCAGACACATTCCACATAGAATGTAACCATAACAATATTAATGTATTAGTATATTTTACAGCATACAGAAGTCTTAAGTTGCCATTTTTATAGGTAAGAGTGTCTATGCGTTTAATAATCTCTGTTTAATTATGATTTAATATAAAAAATTGTTTAAATGAGATGATCTAAAGAATCCTATTTACTTTAGTTCATTTTCTATGAAAAATCTTACTTATAAGTAGTATAGATAGTTAAATAAAAAAAGTGATCAAAACAAAAATTTGTTAACTTTTATTTAACTGAATAAAAATACTATTTGTCTACAGAAA